TGTATTGCATCAGCACTCCTGGATAGCATTGTGTTTAAACGAGTCTGTAGTAAATGTCTGAAGTTCAAACAGCTTCAGCTCGGAGCTTGAGAACTGGAAAGTCAACTGGTTATTTTTGTAACAGGAGCAGCACCTCCGACACAATCTTCTACAGTGGTTAGCGGTAGGAAGGTATACTGGACAGTAAGGCAGGTAAGGGGATCCACAGGGCAGGAGTGCAGGCATGTCAGCTAAAATTCTCTCAGCCTGTTTGGATGAGTGTATGGATGCAATATGGGTGAGCAAACTAACTCTGGCATTATGGTGCCATGGTGCGAATAACAAGGAGTGTCGAAGTAAGGACAGTTCAGTGAGAGGGTTGATATCTTTCTCTGCAGCAAGGTGAGAATGTCCAGGTGGCTGTGCTACTTTCAAGTGTCAGGGTCTGGGACAACTGCTCAGGACTAGAAAGGAACCTGCAATGGGAAGGGAAGGATTTCACAGCTGTAGTCCATGTCGGCACCACATAGATTGAACTAGGAAAGAGGTTCTCCATGGACAGTATGAGGAACTTGGCACTAAATTAGAAAGCAGAACTTCAAAGGTTATAATCTCTAGATTATTTCCTTGACTTGGGCAAATTAGCATAGAGTGCATAAAATTAGATGAACGTGGCTCAACAACTGGTGTGAGAAAAATGGGTTCCTGTTTGTGGAGTGCTAGTGCCAGTTATGGAAAAAGTGGTGGATGTAACACTGTGACAGTTTGCACCTGACCATGCTGGGGCCGGTGTTCTTGCAAACTACACAGATTGGGAAGTAAGGATAGTTTTTAAACTAAATAGTTGAGGAAGGGGTTGAATGTAGAAAGATGTGCTAAACCAAAGAGTAGAGCCGAGATGAAATAGGAATATGGAAACTAAGGTTCAGGAAAGGGACAGAGAGACGAAACCTAGGAATGCAACAGCAACCAAGACTAGTTGTTATGAGAACAACAAAAAGAATACTTTGCAACACAGGCATGCTTGCACTCTCACATCAGGAGTGTGTGAATTGGAGAGGAATAAGAGATTATTTAATTTGAAACAATTTAAGTGCAAAACATACAAGCAATATCAGCATATCAATGTGTTCACTTTTAAGATAGAGTCCAAAATTCCAATGCTAATGTTAACCATCTGATTAACCATAAGAAGGCTTTACACAAACTAGGGATGTATTTCATTGAATTAAGGACTGATATGATTAACATTTGAGGAGATATGTTAAGGAGAATGGATAGGACAGGACAGAGAAACTATTTTTGCTGGTTGGGTTCTAGGATTTGAGGAAAATGTTTAAAAGAATTAGACCCTGCCCGTTTTGAGGAGTGAACTGAGGAAACAGTTTTACACGTCGGCTAATAGAAGTTGGAACTTTTCTATAATTAGCAATGAGACCAGGCTGGATTAATTGTAAATCTTAAATCACAGACGATAGATTGTGATAACTAAAGTTGTGGGAGTACTGGGGCAAAGGAGGACAAGGTGTATCGAGTTAGGTCACAGATCAGCAAGGATCTTATTAACCAGCATAACAGGTGTGAGGGGAAAATAATGACATAATCCATTTCCAATCCCTCTGCTTTTAATAGGCTTGTTCAAAGTATTAAAATACTCTTGACAGGCAAATACTTCCAAATCCTGATGATTACATATCATAAGATCGATGGGAGTCAGGGGTGGAAATCAATGATTGCTGATCCATTTGCAAAGTGGTCCTGCAAAACAGATATACCGTTTTGGATACTGTTGAGGGGAATGACCTCTCAGGCGAAAGCAGCAGAAGCCAAACTCATTGCACCACGGTTAGTTCTGCTGCAGAGGGGAGGGGTAAAAAGTGTGCCAGGGCAATAGTTACAGGGGACTCAATTGTAAAGGGAATAGACAGGCATTTTCGTGACTGCAGGATGGTATGTTGCCTCCCTGGTGCTAGGGTCAAGGATGTCTCGGAGTGGGTACAGGACATTCTGGAGGGGGAGGGTGAACAGCCAGTGGTCGTGGTACACATCGGTACAAACAACACAGGTTAAAAAAAAAAGGATGAGGTCCTAAAAGCAGAATACAGGGAGCTAGGAAGAAAGTTAAGACATCAGACCTCAAAGGTAGTGATCTCAGGATTACTACTGGTGTCATGTGTGAGTCAGAGTAGAAATGACAAGATATATTGGGTGAATAAGTGGTTGAAAAGATGATGTTGGGGAAAGGTTTCAGATTCCTGCGACTTTGGGACCGGTTCAGGGAGTGAGTGACCTGTACAAATTGGACGGGTTACACCTGAACAGGACTGTAGAAAGGATGGTTTTCTTGACCAATGTGTGGAGGAACCAACTAGAGAGCAGGCCATCTTAGACAGGGTGCTGTGAAATGAGAAGGAATCATTGCCAATCTAGCTGTGCAAGATCCCTAGGGGATGAGCAACTATAACATGATGGAATTTTTTATCAAGATGGAGAGTGAGGTAGTTGATTTGGAGACTAGGGTGCTGAATCTTAATAAAGGAAACTATGAAGATATGAGGCATGAGTTGGCCTTGATAGATTGGGGAGAGTTACTTAAAGGGATGACAATGGATAGGCAATGGCAAACGTTCAAGGAACGCATGGGGGAACTGCAACAACTGTTTATTCCTGTCTGGCACAAAAGCAAAATGGGCAAGAGGGCCAATCCATGGCTTACAAAGGAAATTAGAGATAGTATCTGATCCAAGGAAGAAGCATGCGGATTGGTCAAGAAAAATAATCAATCTGAGGATTGGGAACAGTGTAGAATTCAGCAAAGAAGGACCAAGGGATTGATTATGAAGGGGAAAATACAGTACGAAAGTAAGCTTGCAGGGAACATAAAGACTGATGCTAGGAGTTTCTATAGGTATATGAAGAAAAAGAGATTGGTGAAGATAAACGTAGGCCCCCTACAGACAGAAACAGGGAATATATAATAAAGGACAAAGAAATGGCTGAGGAACTAAATACATACTTTGGTTCTGTCTTCACAAAAGAGGACACAAATCAGTAGGTAGAAATGTTGGAGAATGCAAGATCTAGTGAGAGGGAAGAATTGAGGGAGATCAACATTAGTAGAGAAATGATGCTGGGAAAATTGAAGGGGTTGAAGAAAGATAAATCCCCAGGACCTGATAATCTACATCGCAGAGTTCTTAAGAAAGTAGCTCTAGAAATAGTGGATGCATTAGTGGTCATCTTCCAGGATTCTATAGACTCTGGAACTATAGATTCTATAGACTCTATAGTCCCTGCAGATTGGAGGATGGCCAATGTCACCCCAAAATTCAAAAAGGGAGGTAGAGAAAAAACAGGGAATTACAGACCAATAAGCCTAACATTGGTAGTGGGGAAAATTCTCGAATCCATTATCAAGGACTTTATAGTGGAGCATTTAGAAAGCATAGCCAGGATCAGACAGAGTCAGCATGGATTTATGAAGGGGAAATCATGCTTGACAAATCTGTTGGAATTCTATGAAGATGTAACTAGTAGAATTGACAAGGGGGAGCCAGTCGATATGCTTTATTTGGACTTTTAGAAAATGTTTGACAAAGTTCCACATAAGAGATTATTGTGCAAGATTAAAGCACATGGGATTGGGGCAAGTGTATTGAAGTGGATAGAAAATTGGTTGGCAGAGAGGAAACAAAGAGTAGGAATTAATGGGTCCTTTTCAAATTGGCAGGCAGTAACTAGTGGGGTGCCACAGGGATCGGTGCTGGGACCCCAGCTATTCACAATATATATTAATGATTTGGATGAGGGAACAAAATGTAACATCTCCAAGTTTGCAGATGATACCAAGTTGGATGGAAGGGTGAACTGTGAGGAGAATGTAGAGATCCTTCAGCATGACCTCGACAGGTTGGGTGAGTGAGCAAATTGATGGCAGATGCAGTATAATTTGGATAAATGTGAGGTTATTCACTTTGGAAACAAAAACAAGGCAGCAGATTACTACCTGACTGGCTGTAAATTGGGAGGGGGAGGGGGAGGGGGAGGGGGAGGGGGAAAGGGAAAGTGTGCAGTGGGCCCTGGGTGTCCTTGTGCATCAGTCGCTGAAGGTAAACATGTAGGTGCAGCAGGCGGTAAAGAAGGCGAATGGTATGTTGGCCTTCATTGCGAGAGGTTTTGAGTACAGAAGCAGGGCTGTGTTGTTGCAGTTACACAGGGCCTTGGTGAGACCACAGCTGAAATAATGTGTGCAGTTTTGGTCTCCTTTTCTGAAGAAGGATGCTCTTGCTCTCACTCTTGAGGGAGTGCAGTGAAGGTTTACCAGGCTGATTCTGGGAATGGCAGGACTGATGTATGAGGAGAGGTTGACTAGGTTAAGATTGTTTTTGCTGGAATTCAGATGAGGCGGGAAGGGGGCAGGATCTCATAGAGACTTATAAATTCTAACAGGGCTTGACAGGGTAGATGCAGGAATAATGTTTCTGATGGTGGGTGTCTCCAGAATCAGGGGTCTGTCTGAGGATTCGGGGTAGACCATTCAGGACGGAGAGGAGGAGACATTTCTGCACGCAGAGAGTGGTGAGCCTGTGGAACTCATTACCACAGGAAGTACTTGATCCCAAAACATTGAACGTATCCAAGAGGTGACCAAATATAGCACTTGGGGTGAATGGGAGGAAAGGTTACAGGGAGAAAGCAGGATTAGGCTATAGAGTTGGACGATCAGCCATGATCGTGATGAATGGTGGAGCAGGCTCGAAGGGCTGAATGGGCTCTTCCTGCTCCTGCTGTCTATGCTTCAACCAACCTTGAGATTCACTGATCTGAAGGGTGAGAACCAGAAGGTCCCACTCACTGCTTAGGTTGGAGGCTGAGGATAAGACATCTGGCATTTCCTGTTTATCCTAAAGAAGAATAATGCTATTGAACAGGAGACTCTGCAGACAAGATAGAAATGTCATCAGACAAATGCGGAAGAGAAAGCTGCTGGAGCACAACAGGAACCAGGAACGGACACAGACTTAGCATTTCACCCAAGCTTTTATTGAATCTGGTTTCACATGGTCAGTGGCAGGAGTGAGATTCAGAGTATTACTCAACACCATTACTGACTACAGCTCCTAGGTGGCACCATCTAGTGGGAGTGGATCATTCTACAGTCTCCAAATTAACAGGAATACCATTGATAAAAAAATTCTCACTGCATCAAACAAAAATCAGCATGTCATTACTGCATTAAAAAACCTACTGTGAATCCAACCAATTGCTTTATTTTTGATGTTTTGAGCTTTAAATTGTGGATGCGTTTTTTTTCTAAAAATGACATGATGGATGTGAATGGGACATTAGATTCCTGTAACTGATGAAAACTATAATATACATTATACTTTGGGATCTGGATTTCAAAATAGAGATAGATAAAACAAAGGTCTGTCCAAGAAGTTTTTTAAGAAAATAAGGTGAGAAAGTGTACTACATTGTGATCTAAATACATTTGTAAGACGACTAATGACAGCAATCAACTGCCCAGCAGACCCTATGGTGTTAATCGATAAAGTGTTTTTATTGTTGGGTCTGGGACAGGGAGATTTAACACATTAAGACCATTAGTATTGACATCAGAACAGAATGTTCAAAGTTTTAGTTCAGAAGAACCTGGAGATCAGGTCAGAGGAGAACAACTTTTCTCAGTTCAAGGGAGTCAGTCACCTCAGCAGAAGTGATTTTTAGTCTGGGAACTTCCAAGCCTGGAGAATTTGGATAGAAACTTTCAAATTGTTGAATCTGAAAAAGTTTAGGCCATCAGAGTTGTAAGAGGTTCAGATCAGCGGCCTCAGAAGGACTTAGTTTTTTTTGAAAAAACCGTCTCAGCAGTCTAAAAAGAAATGTCAGGAAGCACAAGCTAAGATTTAAAAAGCGGAGATAGGTGCGATACTTCTCTGGGATTCAATCTCTGTAACAGATGATATTAGCAAGTAGATTGAAATCTGTTTCTTTTTAATATTCACTCACGTGATGTGGGAGTTACTGGCTGGGCTAGCGTTTATTGCCCATCTGTAGTTGCGCCCGAGGTGGTGGTGGTGGTGGTGAGCTGCCTTCCTGAACTGCTGCAGTCTGTGGGTGTAGTGAAACCACAATGCCATTAGGGAGTTACAGGAATTTGACTCAGCGACACTGAAGGAACAGAAATATATTTCCAGGTCAGGATGGAGGGGGGCTTGGAAGAGAAATTGCAGGTGGTGGTATTCCCATATTTTGAGGTTTGTAACTTTTAACTTTCTAACCTTCTAAATTTATTAGAAAAACTAAGAAAACATAAAATTATGTTGTTATAAAAGAACATCTTCAGCAGTAAAACATCAGCCAGTGGAGTTTTGTAAACTGCATTTTATTAGAAGTGCATTCAAAATTATTTAAGGACATGGTTTTACATTGCCACTTGTCATATGGGATACCTTGAATGGATGAATGCAGTAGTCACTCTGAGTTTGTGTGAGGATGTATATAAGGAAGTAGGTTTACGTATGAGTGAGATGATGCGTGAGTGTATCAGAGAATGAGGAGAGTGAGGGTTGATAAGTCTGCCAAGACAGTTTGGGATGCAGGTTTGTACTTCCATCACCCCTAACGTTCCATCCATATATCTCTGACCCCAATTACCCAAACTTTACACCTACTCCCTGATCCCAGTCATTCACCTGCAGAAACATTCTAAGCACAGGTTGAGCCATCAGGATAGGATCTCTACATCTCTCTTCCGTCACACCGGCATTTACAGAGACTGCCCCCTTCACCTACCCCTTTGCCATGGAGGCTAGTCCCCACCAGCTCCTATTGGCTGACCTGCAGACAGGCACAAAATAGACAGTGCTGGTAGGTGATGAATGACAGATCATTAACTCATAAGAACATATACAAATCATTCTCTATCTACACACCGGCACAACTGCTGATTGACTTTGCAGGGACCTCTGAGATTTCCCTTCGGGGAAAGCCCCAACGTTGCAGAGACCCTTAGACACACAAACAGGGCTCAGAAATGCTGTGATTATTTATTGCTGTGCTGTGCCATGATGTGGTCTGGTCACAACCTTTCTGACAGACATTGATTAACAACCTCCAATAGGTGTGAGTTCTCCAGAGCAGCTGCCACTCGTTCTTTATCAGCCAGTTGCTTGTTCACTGGAAAAAGGAGAAGATTTATTCAGAACAACAATCTGGTGAATTGCAAGAATTACAGACCTGCTCTACTGTTTAGACACATACATTGAGCTGTAATGCCTGGCCAGGGACTGGCCCTCCTCCCAGACTCAGCCCACGCCTACAGATTGTCCACTTGCTCAATGAATACACTCTGTCCCCCTCCTCATTACTAACCCCCTCTATTTCCAATCCACCTCCTCTGGAGGCTACACCTGCCCACAGGTTAACAATCTGGGTTATTCTCTGCAGAAGTAATAGGGCTGTCGTCATGGGTGACTTCAACCTCTCTAATATAGACTGGAACCTCCTAAGTGCAAATAGTTTGGATGGAGCAGATTTTGTCAGGTGTGCTCAGGAAGGATTTCTGACTCAATATGTAGATAGGCCGACAAGAGGGGAGGACATATTGGATTTGGTGCTTGGCAACGAACCAGGTCAGGTGTCAGATCTCTTGGTGGGAGAGCATTTCGGTGATAGTGATCACAACTCCCTGACCTTTACTGTAGTCATGGAGAGAGATAGGAGCAGACGGTATGGAAAAGTATTTAATTGGGGGAGGGGGAATTACAATGCTATTAGGCAAGAACTATGGAGCACCAGCTGGGATCAGATGTTCTCAGGGAAATGCACGACAGAAATGTGGAAGTTGTTTAGGGAGCAGTTGCTACAGGTACTGGATAGGTTTGTCCCACTGAAGCAAGGAAGGGATGGTAAAGTGAAGGAACCTTGGATGACAAGACATGTGGAACATCTAGTCAAGAGGAAGAAGGAAGCTGACTTAAGGTTGAGGAAGCAAGGATCGGACAGGGCTCTAGAGCTCTACAAGGTAGCCAGGAAGGAACTGAAGAATGGACTTAGAGCTAGAAGGAGGAAATGAAAAAACCGTGGCAGGTAGGATCAAGGAAAACCCCAAGGTGTTCTATGCTTATGTGAGGAACAAGAGGATGGCCAGAGTGAGGGTAGGGCCAATCAGGGACAGTGGAGGGAACTTGTGTACGGAGTCAGAGGTGGTAGGGGAGGTCCTTAATGATTACTTTGCTTCAGTATTCACCAGTGAGAGGGACCTTGACGTTTGTGAGGACAGCATGAAACAGGCAGATATGCTCGAACATGTTGATGTTAGGAAGGAGGATGTGCTAGAAATTTTGAAAAACATGGGGATAGATAAGTCCCCTGGGCCAGATGGGATATACCCAAGGTTACTACGGGAAGCAATTACTGCCCCTTTGGCGATGATCTTTGCACCCTCTGTCCACTGGAGTAGTACCAGATGATTGGAGGGTGCCAATTCCCTTGTTTAAGAAAGGGAATAGGGATAATCCTGGAAATTACAGACCACTCAGTCTTACTTCTGTGGTGGGCAAATTATTGGAGAGGATTCTGAGAGATAGTGTTTATGTTTATTTCGAAAAGCACAGTTTGATTAGAAATAGTCAGCATGGTTTTGAGAGGGGCAAGTCATGCCTCACAAGCCTGACTGAATTCTTTGAGGATGTGACAAAACACATTGATGAAAGCAGAGCAGTGGATGTGGTGTATATGGATTTTAGCAAGGCATTTGATAAGGTCTCCCATGTAGGCTCATTCAGAAAGTAAGGAGGCATGGCATTCAGGGAAATTTGGCTGTCTGGATACAAAACTGGCTGTCCAATAGAAGACAGAGGGTGGTAGCTGATGGAAAGTATTCAGGTTGGAGCTTGGTGACCAGTGATGTTCTGCAGGGATCTGTTCTGGGACCTTTGCTCTTTGTGCTCTTTATAAATGACTTGGATGAGGAAGTGGAAGGGTGATTAGTAAGTTTGCCGATGACATGAAGGTTGGAGGAGTTGTGGACAACGTGGAGGGCTGTTGCAGGTTGCAACGGAACATTGACAGGATGCAGAGCTGGGCAAAGAGGTGGCAGATGGAATTCAACCCAGAAAAGTGTGAAGTGATTCATTTTGCAAGGTCGAATTTGAATGCAGAATACAGAGTTAATGGCAGGATTCTTGGCAGTGTGGAGGAACAGAGATCTTGCGGTCCGCATCCATTGATCCCTCAAAGTTGCTACCCAAGTTGATAGGTTTGTAAAGAAGGCATATGGTGTGTTGGCTTTCATTGGCAGGGAAATTGAGTTTAAGAGCTGTGAGGTTATGCAGCAGCTCTATAAAACTCTGGTTAGACCACATTTGGAATATTGTGTTCAGTTCTGGTCACCTCATTATAGGAAAGATGTGGAAGCTTTAGACAGGGTGCAGGGGTGAGGACTGGAGGGCAGGTCTTATGAGGAAAGGTTGAGGGAGCTCGGGCTCTTTTCATTGAAGCGAAGAAGAATGAGAGGTGACTTTATAGAGGTGTACAAGATGATGAGGGGCACAGATAGAGTGGATAGTCAGAGACTTTTTCCCAGGGCAGAAATGACTATTATTAGGGGGCATAACTTTAAGGTGATTGGAGGAAGGTATAGGGGAAATGTCAGAGGTAGCTTCTTTACACAGAGTGTGGTGGGCATTTGGAATGCGCTGCCAGCAGTGGTAACGGAGTCAGATACTTCAGAGACTGTTAAGTGACTCTTGGATAGGCACATGGAGGATAACAAAATGTAGGGTATGCAGGGTAGATTGATCTTAGTAGGATAATAGGCCGGCACAACATCGTGGGCTGAAGGGCCTGTGCTGTTCTATGGAGCTCAGTTCACAATATCTGGGGCAGTTGGTAGGGAAGACCTCAAGGTGCTTGATTACTCCCCCACCTGCCAGTACAGGGCCACATTAAATCTCTCAGAAATACAAAGATTGATCACCTGCGTTTTCAGAAGCATGGGTTCCTGGAGTAATGTGGACATCCACCTAGAATAAGAACAACTCAACATTAGACATTAAAATCCATGTGTTATAGAGTCATAGAGAAATACAGAACAGAAATAGACCCTTCAGTCCAACTCATCCACGCCGACCAGATATGCTATATAAATCTACTCCCATTTGCTAGCATTTGGTCCATATCCTTCTCAACCCTTCCTATTCATATCCCCATCCAGATCCCTTTTAAATATTGTAATGTACCAGCCTTCACCACTTCCTCTGGCAGCTCATTCCACACACACACCACCCTGTGCGTGAAAAAGTTGCCCCTTAGATCCCTTTTAAATCTTTCCCCTCTCACCTTAAACCTATACCCTCTAGTTTTGGACTCCCCAACCCCGCAGAACAGTCCTTGTATATTTACCCTATCCATGCCCCCTCATGGTTTTATAAACCTCTATAACATCACCCCTCAGCCTCCGAAGTGCCAGGGAAAATAGCCCCAACCTATTCAGCCTCTCCCTATAGCTGAAACCTTCCAGTCCCAGCAACATCCTTGTAAATCTTTTCTGAACCCTATCAAATTTCACAACATCCTTCCTATAGCAGAGAAACCAGAACTGCACACAGTGTATCTTGAAACGTATAAGGCAGGAAACACAGGGGAATGTGTTTGCTGCAGTCACTAAGCAGCATTATGAGCAGAGGCAACCTTTGTGAAGTCCCCTTCCTGTATTCTAAACATGAATTGATACAGGTCACTGTGCCAGTGCCAACTCTTTGATAAAGGGGAACCATTAGTCCTACTACATGCCCAGGATTACCTCAGATCAGTGACTGAAGGTGGAACTAGACTGATTTCCTGGAACATTTCTACAACAGTGATGCAGATTTGCACTAATCATCAAGTCAGCTCCTTTTTTTGTGGATTTATCGAGACAGGTAACACACATTCATTGTCTGCAGCTTAACTGACACACAGATTACCAGAGACACATTTCCAGATTACCAGGTAAATCATACAAGCAGAATATCAGCTAACTAGCACACACTTAGATTACCAAGAAAATACCATAAATGAACACCGAAAATTACCGGGTAACTAACTCTCAGATTGCCAGCTAACTGACAAACACAGACTTTTGTGTACAGTTCTGGTCACCAAGTTGTATTTAAAAAAAGGGAGATATCGGAGAAGTGTAAAACAAAATTACGAGAATGATATGAGAAAGGTGAGAAAATGCCCTGTCTGAAGAGGATTAACAGTCAGGTCTCTCCTGTCTTGGAAAAAATGAAGGCCCAAGGAGGAACAGAAACAGTCTTTAAATTCTGAAACGTCTTGATTTGTTGGGAAGAGCATGACTAGAGGCCATCAATAAGATAGTCACCAAATGCCACACAGCATGGAAACAGGCCCTTCGGCCCAACTCGTCCATGCTGACCAGGTATCCTAAACCGGTCTATTTCCATTGGCCTGCATTTGGCCCGCATTTGGCCCATATCCCTCTAAACCCTTCCTATTCATATACCTGTCCAAATGTCTTTTAAATGTTGTAATTGTACCTGCCTGTACCACCTCTTCCCTACCATCCTGTGTCAAAAAGTTGTCCCTCAGGTCCCTTTAAATTGTTTCCCTTTCACCTTAAACCTATGCCCTCTAGTACTAGACTCCTCTAGGAAAAGGCCTTGGCTATTCACCTTATCTATGCCCCTCATGATTTTACAAACCTTTATAAAGGTCATACCTCAGTCTCTGACACTCCAGGGAAAATTTCCCAGCCTATCCAGCTTTAAACCCTCCAGTCCCAGCAACATCCTTGTAAATCTTTTCTGCACCCTGTCCAGTTTAACAACATCCTTCCTATAGCAGGGTGAGCAGAATTATATGCAGTATTCTAAAAGTGGCCTCATTAATGTCCTATACAGTCGCAACATGACATCCCAACTCCTGCACTCAGTACTTTGACCAATGAAGGCAAGCGTTCCAAATGCCTTCTTCACCACCCAGTCTACCTGCGACGCCACTTTCAAGGAACTATGTACTTGCACCCCTAGGTCTCTCAGTTTGATAACATTTCCCAGGGCCCTAACATTAACTGTACAAGTCCTGCTTGGCTATTCACCTTATCTATGCCTCTCACGATTTTATAAATCTTTATACAGTCACCCCTCAGCCTCCAAAGCTCCAGGGAAAGATGTTGCAGCCTACCCATCCTACCATAGTACAACACCTTGCATTTATCTGAATTAAACTCCATCTGGATAGCTACATACACAAGTTACAAGGTAACAGCGCACAATGAGATGACAGGTAACCAAAATCTCAGGGACATGATGGCCTAATGGTATCATTGCATTCTGGGGACCTGGATTCATATCATGCTCTGGCAGTGGCAGATACTGGAATCTGCATTCAATAAATATCTGGAAAAGTCTAATCATGACATAAAACCATTGTTGATGGTTAGGAAAAAGCCATCTGGTTCACTCATGTCCCTTAGGGAAGGAAACTGCTTGGTCTGGCCGATATGTGGCTCCAAATCCACAGCTGTGGAGTTGATTTGTCTCTTAACTGCCCTCTGTGCAATCAAGAATGGGCAATAAATGCTGGTCTGGCAAGCGACATGCATATTGTGAATGAATTAAAAAAAAGACACCCTCGTAGATTCAGAGATAGTAGGAACTGCCGATGCTGGAGAATCTGAGATAACAAGGTGTAGAGCTGGATGAACACAGCAGGCCAAGCAGCATCAGAGGAGCAGGAAAGCTGGCATTTCGGGTCTGGACCCTTCTTCAGAAATGGGGGAGGGGAAGGAGATTCTGAAATAAAGAGACAGAGGGGGGAGGCGGATGGAAGATGGATAAAGGAGCAAGGAGCAGATAGGTAGAGAGGAGACGGACAGGTCAAGGAGGCGGGGTTGGAGCCAGTAAAGGTGAGTGTAGGTGGGCAGTCAGGATGGGGATTGGTCAGTCAAGGGAAGACAGACAGGTCAAGGAGGCAGGGATGAGGTTGGTAGGTAGGGGATGGGGGTGGGGGTGGGGGTTAAGGTGGACATTTTTCCCTCCCCACCCTTATCTGCCTTCCGGAGGGACTGCTCTCTCTGTGACACCTTGTCTACTCCACACTCCCCACTAGCCCCACCACCCCTGGTACTTTTCCCTGCAACCGCAGGAAGTGGTACACCTGCCCCTACACCTCCCCCCTCACCCCCATTCCACGCCCCAAGAACACCTTCCACATTAAACAGATGTTCACCTGCACATCTGCTAATGTGGTATACTGTATCCGCTGTTCCCCATATGGCCTCCTCTACATCGGGGAAACCAAGTGGAGGTGTGGAGACCGCTTTGCAGAACACCTACGCTCGGTTCGCACTAAACAACTGCACCTCCCAGTCGCGAACCATTTCAACTCCCCCTCCCACTCCTTGGATGACATGTCCATCCTGGGCCTCCTCCAGTGCCACAATGATGCCACCTGAAGGTTGCAGGAACAGCAACTCATATTCCGCTTGGGAACCCTGCAGCCCAATGGTATCAATGTGGACTTCACAAGCTTCAAAATCTCCCACTCCCAACCGCATCCCAAAACCAGCCCAGCTTGTCCCCACCTCCCTGACCTGTCCGTCTTTTCTCCCACCTATCCGCTCCTCCCACTTCAACTCCACCCCCACCTCCTCCCAGCCTCATCCCCGCCTCCTTGACCTGTCCGTCTTCCCCTGACTGACCAACCCCCATCCTAACTCCCCACCTACACTCATCTTTACTGGCTCCATCCCCACCTCTTTGACCTGTCCATCTCCTCTCCACCTATCTGCTCCTTTATCCACCTTCCATCCGCCTCCCTCCGCCCCCCCCTCTTATTTCAGAATCCCCTTCCCCTCCCCCATTTTTGAAGAAGGGTCCAGACCCGAAACGTCAGCTTTCCTGCTCCTCTGATGCTGCTTGGCCTGCTGTGTTCATCTAGCTCTACACCTTGTTATCTCTGTACCCTCACAGATTACAAAGTAATTAACAGACACACTCAGATTACCAAGCAAACAACGCATTCACAACCTGCCAAAGAATTAACACACACTAACTTTTCAGATACTGAAGCAGTCCATGTTTGGTTTGAATTATAACGAGAGGCTGGATGAGTTGGGATTTCTTTCCCTGGAGCATCAGAGGCTGAGGGGTGACGTCATACAGGTTTTTAAAATCATGAGGGGCATGGATAGGGTAAACAGCCGAGGTCAATTTTCCCCAGGGGTGTCCAAAGCTAGAGGTCATAGGCTTAAGGTGAGAGGGGAAAGATTCAAAAGAGACCTCAGGGACAACTGTTTCTTAGAGGGTGGTGCATGTATGGGTCAAACCGCCAGAGGTAGTGACAGAGGTGGGAATAATTACATCATTTAAAGGACATTTGGACAGGTACATGAATAGGGAATGTTTAGAGGGATATGGGCCGAATACAGGAAATTGGGATTAGTTTAGTTTAGGATACCTGTTCAGCACGGACAAGTTGGACCAAAGGGTCTACTTCTATACTGTATGACTCAGACTCTATAAATGTAACAAGATCTGGACAGTAAATATCCAGGCTGACAAGTAAATAGTACCATTCACACCACACAAATGGCAGATAATGACCTTTCACCACCACTTTTTTACAGTTAATGCTGTTACCATTTGCTGAATCTCTCACTGACAACATGGGGGTGGTGGGACCATTGACCAGATGTTCAACTGAACTTGCCACACAAACACAGTGGCTACAAGAGCAGGTCAGAGGTTAGGAATACTGCAGCAAGTAACTCATCTTTGACTCCCCAAAGCCTGTTCACCATCTACAAGGCACACGTCAACAGGAGGACGGATTACTCCCCAGTTGCCTGGGTGGTACAGCTCCAACAACACTCCAGGACAAAGCTTGATTGGTACCAAAGCCACAAACATCCACTCACGCCAACACTGATGCTCAGTAGCAGCAGTGTGTACCATCTACAAGATGCACTGCAAAAATTCACTGAAGATCCTTAGGCAGCATCTTCCACACAACCACTTCCATCTAGAAGGACAAGGGCAGCAGATACATTGAAACACAAGCTCCTGCAAGTTCCCCTCCAGGCCACTCACCATCCTGACTTGGAAATATAGTGCCGTTCCTTCAGTGTTGCTGGGTCAAAATCCTGGAATTCCCTCCCTAAGGGTACTGTGGGTCTACCTACAGTGGTTCAAGAAGGCAGCTCACCACCATCTTGTCAAAGGCAACTAAGGACGGGTGATAAATTTTGGGCCCAGCCAGTGACGCCCATGTCCCATGAATGAATAAAAATACTGTCAGATCAGATAACTACGTACAGTCAATCTACCAGATACCTAACATACACAGAATTGCTAGATAATTAACATAGAGATTACCAGATAGTTACTAAATACACACTGATTACTAGATAATTAACATACTCGCAGTTTACCAGGTAGCCAACTCTCACCTTGAAGCGGGCAGGCAGCGAGCGCAGCAACTTGACTTTAATGGATAAGCCAATGAGAGTAGCCATGCTGCAATGAGGGATGGTCGGTGTGAAGGCCACTGATACACTGTTCTCATGGTCAACCACCTGGTGTACAGACAGGAAAATCAAGTTTACCACAGCAAACGGGGAAGCATAGCTACTCCCCACACTTTACAAAGGCCAAGCCCACCTAGGGTCTCAAAGAAGAGAGGTCTCGGGAGGTAAGTCCAGAGATTGGGGCTCAGGCAGCTGAAGGCACAACTGCCAGTAGCGGAGCGATTGAAAATCAAAGATGCTCCAGAGATTAACAATGGAAACCCAGAAATTTCAGCGGGTTGCAGGGTCAGTGGAGATAACACAGATAGGGAGGGGCAAGGCATTGAAGGGTTTTAACTGGGTGTTAAGAATATTTAAAATCACTGCCAAAACCTGGAGCAAAGCAGGTGAGATTGGGAATGGTGGATGAACAGGACTTGGTGAGAATTAGGTCATGAGCAGAGTTTAGATTCTATCCTGGTTATATTAAATCAGTGATGCCAGAACCTCCGACTGCAGTTTGGTTACAGCCAGATACTCAGTCACACTAGATTCAAAATGTCCAGAAGAGACAATTTCACACAAAATTTATATCAATGCTAATTTATGCATCGCAAACAAGGCACATGTGTAGTTTGGGGTTTAATCACCCAGCACAGAAATTATTCAATTTACATAACCTGCTTACATTCACAGTATTCACAACAGTCAGTTTATAAATCTAAAACTTGTCCCAAAGCACTCTACAGCCTGGGAAGTACTTTTTGAAGCAGGAAACGCAGCTGCCAATTTGTGCACAGCAAGCTCTCAAAAACAGCAATACAACGATCACCAGATTTCATTGATTTGAAGACAAAGTGATGGAGAAACTCAGGGGGCCTTGCAGAAAGAAACAGAGTTAATGTGGAATCCCTTGGCTCATTTTTTGAATCTGAAGGGGGCTGGAAAACAATGGTATTTTGATGTTGACAGAGGGGGGACAGGGGAGTGGGAAAAAAAATGGTGAGGGTGTCCAAAGCAAAAGATAAGGGGAACGCTAATAGTATTAGTATGCTTTTGGTCTCAACAATAAGGGGGGGGGAGGTGGGGGTGGTGGTGGGAGAAACTACATTGGTCAGCAATGAATATAGTAAACTAGATTGAAAGTAATAAAACACTGCTTCACCTGGAAGGTGTAACGGAGCCCTGCATAGTATGGGAGGAAGAAAGTAATAGGGCAAGTGCTATACTTCTGAAATTCCATTTGAAGGTACCATGGGGTGAAAAGGTAGAAGTGAGAGGAGTGGGCTGATGTATCCTGGAGAGAACAGTTCCTGGAGAGAACAGTCCCTGCAAAATGTTGACAAAGAAGTAGAGGGGAAGATATGTTCGGTGGTGGCATCCTTCTAAAGATGGTGTGATATGATCCTCTGAATGCAGAGATTGAAGCGGAAAACGTGGACAAATGGAATTGAGTTCTTACAGGAAGGAATGAGATAGGAAGTGTAGTCAGGTAAATGTGGGAGCCATGGGTTTATAATAGATATTAATGAACAGCCCATCCCCAGAAATGGAAACATGGAAGAGAACTTTTAGAGGCGGACCAGGTGAAGGTGATAGAAGGCCAGAAACTGGAAGCAAAAGTGAAGAATGTTTCCAATTCTAGACAGCACGTATGATGTTAACGTACTGGCCAAAATGTTTTCGGGAGGGCTCCTGAGCAGGACTGGAACAAGCAATGTTCCACATACCCCACCAAGAGACAGGCATAACTGTGACCCATGCACATACATACAGACAAACCTTTAACTTAGAGAAAATGAGCAATGTTGAATATTGGTTGGGATACCAGAAATTTGGTGATAAAGCTAGAACTAGAGGGCATAGATTTAAGATGATCAGCAAATAGTTTGGGTCTGGAGATGGTTACAGTCCCAAGAATGTGAAAATGGCTTTAATGGAGCATTTTAAAGAGCAATGCGTTGATATCCGAAAAGGAAAACTTTGTCCGGCCACACAGGGAGAAGGCTAGAAAGTGGGATGAAGTGAAATGCTCCTTTGGAGACCAGCACAGACTTGATGCGCCGAACCTCCTTATTTATTCTAACCATAATGATTTCCTGATAGGTGGGAATGGATGCTGTGAACAGGCCACATGCATGTAGACATGGTGAATGAGCAAGGTGGCAGATGGAGCATAATATGGGGAAGAGAGAGATTACAGAAAAACTACTTTATAAAGGGAAAAATCTTTTAATATTGATGTTTAGAGAGACATGGATGTAATCATACAAGAACAAAGTTAAAATACAGTACGACAAGCATAAAGGAGGCAAATAGCCCGGTGGCTTTATTGTAAGGGAATTGGATCACAAGAATAGGACATTTTGCTGTAATTGTATGGGGCTTTTGACAGATCACACTGGAACATTGCAGAGTTTTGGTCTACATTTTCTAAGGAAGAATACTCTTGCATTAGCACAGCATAGGTCCACTAAACTGGTAGCAGGGAATGAGTGGTTGTCATGAGGAAAGGGTGAATAAATTGGGGCTGTGTACTCAAAGTTGGGGTGCTCTGATATCTTTCATTATATTCAAGGCCAATTTAGGTGGATTCTTGACCTATCAGGGAATCTAGGGATGTAGACAGGAAAGTGAGGTTGAGGTGACAATCAGATTAACTGTGATTAATACTGTGGGATTGTATATACCAACTGAAAGGGCAGACAGGGTCTTGGTTTAACATCTCATCCAGAAGATGGAACCTCTGGCAATGCAGCACTCCCTCAGTCCTGCGCTGAAGACTCTGGCTGTGGCTGGGACCGGAACCCATCATCCCATCCTGTGCCACAAGAAATTCAGTCCGAGAGTTTGGTTTAACACTAAGAATGCGAGCTACCTAAATCACACTGATGCAGAGAATTATTGAACGCAGCTTAGCTCTTGTGCATGTTCCTCAAAGCACTGTCTCACATGTGGATAAAACTACCATTTTTCTGTGTTTTCTCAGTACTAGCCACAATGGTCCAGAATACAGAGAAACAACATATTTCATCACAATTGATGCTTTTATTCACCTCCTCCCATTTCTGTCCTCTCTCAAGGCACTGCCATGATAAGGTTAAGATAATTACCGCCAACATTTCAATAAGTGACTACTCTTCACATACACACAGATTCATTGTACCCATGATGGTCACATTTCTGGGCTTATTTAGCAACTGAACAACAGCTTTTTCTTGGGTGCTGGCCCAAACCACAGCTTTTGAGAGTTGGCAGGCAATCCCTTTCTAATTTCTTAAGTTTAGTTGCCTAGGAATCCATCCTTATCACTGACACCTGGAATGATAACAATCTTATTTTGAAACCATCTCAATCATTAAAGCATACTTACGTTAACTCGAAGCTGTTCCACAACATTTAACTCCTCCAGACTCAGTGGATGCTCTGGGTCATTGATCGATCTGATTAGATGTAAATACATTAAGGAAAGTTTCCACAGCACACTGCGTTGACAACTTTCACTGCTTGGAAATAAAACCCTTCATAAAGCTGAAGTGAATGGGGCATAATAGGAACAGGTTAAGAATTTAAAGAAAACCTGAAATCTCCCTCAAAACAGGTTTGAACTGTCCACCACACAGAGCAGCAGAAGGCTGGTTAAATATACAGAAGAGTCATATTGGACGCGAAATGTAAACACTGTTTCTGTCCCCACAGACCTGTTGAATTTTTTCAGCACATTCTGTTTTTACTGTGGTTGAATACACACCTTGTCCATCACCTCCCAGAGCCTATAGTCCCTGCTCCTCCTCTGTACACTCCCCATCCGCATAAACCACAACCTTCCTGCTGGTGCCTCTGTAAAACCTCCCTGTCTTCAGATCTACATGACTCCGGGGTGAGAGTGTTCGCTGGGCGGCCCCCGGACCCGGGACAGGGTTCCCGCTTCACACTCACTCTCCCTCCGGGGGCCCGACGCACGGCCTACACCCTCTCCCCATCCCTGCGGCCCGGTTCGGCCCTCCCCCGGATATCAAAGATCTCCCGGTTGTCGATGATGTCCACCGCCTCCTCCTCCTGCTCCCGGGCGGTGAGAGGCCGCTCCGAGCTCCGCCCGTAAATCAGCGGGTTCGCGTTCTCCAGCCGCGCTCCGGCCGCCATGACAGCCTGGTCCCGCCCTCCCCCACACACACATTTCCGGATCCGGGTCAGAGGGCACCAGCTCCCAGCTCCTATGATGCTGCTTGGCCTGCTGTGTTCATCCAGCCCTGCACCTTGTTGTCTCAGTGGACAATGGGACGGGGGTTTCATGTCTCCATGGTAACGGGAGGGAGCCCGTTCGGCCCATCGTGTCGCTGCCAGTTCAACCCCAGTGTCCAGCTCCTGGGCTCCGGAGGTTATAGTGTTTATCGAAGTCGGTTTTAAACACGCTTAGAGTTTCTGTCTGTCTTTTCAGGCAGTCAGTTCCAATCCTCTACCATGGAACACAGGGCTAGGCCATTCGGCCCCTCCAACCTACACTGACATGTTATAAATAACTCCATTTTTCTGTGTCCCCCACCCCCTTACCCTTGAATCGTCATTATTGGAGGTCCCTTACAGATGAGGATGATGCTTGTCCACTCTCAGAGTGAGTCCATAGGCGGTGCATTGACCCCTCCCTTGATCGGCTACGATGGGCTGCATGCATCGTCCGAATGACTGACCTGAGACTCCGCAGGCAAGTGCTGTATTCCCAGGTGGACAGGTACTTCAGTGATACACTCAAGGCCTCACTGGCAAAGTGCGACATTCCTACAGGCACCCACTGGCCCAAAGTGAAGGAGGGGCATCCGGGAAGGCGTCAAGCACCTCGAGACTTGCCATCAGGAAAAAATGGAAGCCAGGTGAAAACAGCAAAAGGAGCGCACTGCCACCCACACCAACGCCCCACCCGCTCCTTCCCGTGACAACCCTCTGCCCCAAGTGTAACAGAGCCTGTGGACCCATTGTGTATCGAAAACCAATGCAGTACAGCATTGAATATATACAATGGCCTAGGGTCCACTGCTCACTCACAGCGCACCAAGGGAAAAAGAACTCATCTCCATCTGGTTTTTAATCTGTGCCCTAGTTTTAGTTTAGTCTCCCTCACAAGAGGGAACATGCTCCGGGAATCCACCCTATCAAGTTCTGTCAGGAGCTCACCAGTGTCAATGAGATCCCTCTCATTCTTCTTATCACCAATGTGTATACACCCAAACTGTTCATCCTTTCTTCACCAACTGCTTAGTGAAAGTACCTAACTTCAAACCCCCCTTTGAACTTTTTTTTGCCAATTATTTATCTTCTGCACCCTGGGCATCAGCTGCTCCACTAACATACATGGGTCCTTCCAAATCCAATATTAGGGCCTGTTTTTGCTTTACTCACTTGTGGGATATGGACATCACTGGCTGGGCCAGCATTTTGATTGTCCGTTCTTAGTTGCCGTTGAGAAGGTGGTGGTGAGCTGCCTTCTTGAACAGCTGCAGTCCATGTGCTGTAGGTTGACCCACAATGGCCTCAGGGAGGGAATTCCAAGATTTTGACCCAGCGACACTGTAGGAATGGTGATATATATAATTTTACCCAAATTAAAACTTCCCTCAGCTTCCTGTATCCCAGGCAGAATAACCCCTGCCTGACCAGATCACAGCCACCATATGCATGTAGACCTCAAATTGCCTACATACAGGATTCATACTGGCACACAGACAGTTTCCCTTCTGTGTGCTCATTTGAACTTGTGACCAAAAACATTCGTTCTCTCTATCCTTAAACTGCTTTGTGTGAAGTTTAATCACACTTCAAACCCCTTAACAGTTCCCTCACCAACCCCCAAATATCTCTCTGTTTTGACACTCTTCTAAACAAACAAAAATTTGGTTAACCAACCCTTTGTGAAATGCTTTGAACTGCTGTCCAAACAAAGTTTACTCTCAAATAAAACAACAGCAGGTCTGTCCTCAGGAATTTATTTCTCTTGCTATCTATATCATTGGCACCACTGTGGACCATGACTTCTGGCACATTCCCTGTCACCTCAAAGGATGTCCTCCAGTCTAGAGTCATCAACCTGAAATGTTCACTGTTTTCTCAATCCACAGATGCTGCCAAATCTGCCAAATGTATTTTATGACAGGCCAAGCAGCATCATAGGAGCAGAGAGGCTGACGTTTCGGGCCGAGACCCTTCATCAGAAAAGGGGGAGGGGAAGGGGGTTTTGAAATAAATAGGGAGAGAGTGGGAGGCGGATAGAAGAGGGATAGAGGAGAGGATAGGTGGAGAGGAAACAAACAGGTCGAAGAGGCGGGGATGGAGCCAGTAAAGGTGAGTGTAGGTAGGGAGTTAGGAAGGGGCTAGGTCAGTCCAGGGAGGACGGACAGGTCAAGGGGGCGGGATGAGGTTGGTCGGTAGGAGATGGAGGTGCGGCTTGAGGTGGGAGGAGGGGATAGGTGGGAGGAAGAACAGGTTAGGGAGGCAGGGACGAGCTGGACTGGTTTTGGGATGCGGTAGGGGGAGGGGAGATTTTGAAACTTGTGAAATCCACATTGATACTATTGGGCTGCAGGGTTCCCAAGCGGAATATGAGTTGCTGTTCCTGCAACCTTCGGGTGGCATCGTTGTGGCACTGCAGGAGGCCCAGGATGGACATGTCGTCTGAGGAATGGGAGGGGGAGTTGAAATGGTTCGCGACTGGGAGGTGCAGTTGTTTGTTGCGAACCGAGCGTAGGTGTTCTGCAAAGCGGTCCCCGAGTCTCCGCTTGGTTTCCCCGATGTAGAGGAAGCCACACCGGGTACAGCGGATGCAGTATACCACATTGGCAGATGTGCAGGTGAACATCTGCTTGATGTGGAAAGTCTTCTTGGGGCCTGGGATGGGGATGAGGGAGGAGGTATGGGGGCAGGTGTAGCACTTCCTGCGGTTGCAGGGAAAAGTTTTTCGGGGAAACCAAGCGGAGACTCGGGGACCGCTTTGCAGAACACCTACGCTCGGTTCGCAACAAACAACTGCACCTCCCAGTCGCGAACCATTTCAACTCCCCCTCCCATTCCTCAGACGACATGTCCATCCTGGGCCTCCTGCAGTGCCACAACGATGCCACCCGAAGGTTGACGGAACAGCAACTCATATTCCGCTTCGGGTCCCTGCAGCCCAATGGTATCAATGTGGATTTCACAAGCTTCAAAATCTCCCCTCCCCCTACTGCATCCCAAAACCAGTCCAGCTCGTCCCTGCCTCCCTAACCTGTTCTTCCTCCCACCTATCCCCTCCTCCCACCTCAAGCCGCACCTCCATCTCCTACCGACCAACCTCATCCCGCCCCCTTGACCTGTCCGTCCTCCCTGGACTGACCTATCCCCTTCCTAACTCCCTACCTACACTCACCTTTACTGGCTCCATCCCCGCCTCTTCGACCTGTTTGTTTCCTCTCCACCTATCCTCTCCTCTATCCCTCTTCTATCCTCCTCCCACTCTCTCCCTATTTATTTCAAAACCCCCTTCCCCTCCCCTTTTCTGATGAAGGGTCTAGGCCCGAAACGTCAGCCTCTCTGCTCCTATGATGCTGCTTGGCCATCCAGCCCTGCACCTTGTTGTCTCGGATTCTCCAGCATCTGCAGTTCCTACTATCTCTGATTCAAATGTATTTTATGTTTTTATTTCTGATTTCCAATATCCACAGTACTTTGTTTTAGTCTGAAGAAGTTTTGAAGAAGGGTCACTGGACTGGGAGTGTTAACTCACTTTCTCTCTCCACAGATGCTGCCGAATCTGGTAAGTTTCTCCAGAAATTTCTGTGGTTTTTTTTGTCTCATTTCCTGGCTGTCATAGCACAGTGTCATCAGCAGATGGTGGTGTGCTACAGCTTTGCAGAGCCAAGTACCAACCCTTGACAAATGAGGGTGTTCTGTTCTCCTCATGGACAAATGGAATCAAACAAGACTTCAGTGTGAAAGGGAGGAGAGTTTAACCCAGTGGGAAATAAACACAGACTGGACATAAATGCCAGGAAACTTCCCTCTTCTTCATCCTTTCCCGTGCTGCCAATTATTTTTATCCTTGTGGAGCGGGGCATTGCTGGTTGGACCAGTATTTATTGCCCATCCCTAGTTGCACTGGACTATCCCAGCTCAGTCACATCATTCCATAACCCATCCTCATGCTTCGATATCCAAACAAGCCACTGAATCACTGGCTGAAATCTGGCTGAAACTCTATGCAGTGCCTGCCTTCCCAAGGACTGGCACCAGATCTGTTACTTGTAAATTTGGAAGGGTGTTGGTTAGCTTAGTTGGCTGGGTAGCTGGTTTGCAATGCACAGGGATGCCAACAGCATGGGTTCAATTCCTACACCAGCTGAGGCTAGTATGAAGGACTCTCCTTCTCAACAGCACCGCTTGCCTGAGGCACAGTGACCCTTAGGGTAAACCACCACTGGCGCTCTCTCTCTCTCTAATGAGAAAGCAGTCTTTTCGTGACTTTACCTTTTTAAAAACCTAGAATCATTAATAATAATCATGAAACTGTTGATTGCTGTAAAAACAATGTGACTCTAATGTGGTTAACTCTTAACTGTCCTCTGAAATGACTGAGCAAACCACTCAGTTCATAGGCAATTAGAGATGGGCAGCAAGTGTTGGCATTGCCAGGATTTCCCACATCCCAAGAAAAGAATTAAAAAAAACATTAAAAATTGCATGCTGCTACTTGACAAAGGCTGGAGAGTTCTGCCAAGTTTTCTGGCCAATAGTAATCTCACAGGCAACAGTGAATGTAGACTTACTGCTGACTATGTTTGTGAAAGTGATCCAATTGGCAACCATGATTCCAACTTCAGAAATACCCCATTGACCATAAAGCACTTTGGAATGAGGTCGTGAAAGGTGCTTGAAAATGCGAGTTCTGTTTTCTGACATTTTTTTCACTGGCTGATCTCTTGAGTGCTTAGACCACTTGGAAGAAGCCAGGACATAGGGGTACTTAGGTGTGTGTAAAGTTGAGCTTATCGAAATCCTTGCTTTCCATTTCGTCGCTCATGCTGAGTCCTGATAGCCCTGTGCTCACTGATCTACATTGGCCCCAACCCATCAGCCAGTTGAATTAAAATTTCCCTGCCTTGTTTTCAAATTCTTCTCTGGATTAAACTCCATCTGCCATTTTTCCACCCAACTTTCCAGCTGATCTATAACCCGCTGTATCCTTTGACAATCTTCCTGACTATCCACAGCTCCGCAATTTTTGTGTTGTCTGCAAACTTATGACTCAGAGCACGAACATTTTCATCCAAATGGTCAAGAAGGTTTGACAATGCTTCTACTTCCTCAGGGGGGTAAGGAAATTTGCCATGACCATAAGGACCCTCACCAACTTTTACAGATGCACCATAGAAAACATTCTGTCTGGGTGCATAACAGCTTAGTCCGACAACTAAACTGCCCAGGTCCTTAAGAAACTAGAGAAGGTGGTGTGCACAGCCCAGATCATTACACAAGCCAACGTTCCATCCATTGACTCCATCTACTCTTCTCGTTGCCACAGAAAGGCAGCCAACATCATAAAAAACCCCTCATACCCTGGTTATAATCTCTTCCATCCTCTTCTGTCAGGCAGAAGATACACAAGCTTAAACACCACATATCAACAGGTTCAAGAACAGCTTCTTCCCTGCTGTTATTAGACTTCTGAATGGACCTCTCAAATTTCAAATCTAATGTTGATCTTGCTTTTTGTGCACCTTCTCTGTAGCTGTAACTTTGTATTCCTCGCTCTGTTCAATCTTTGTGCCTTTGTATGTTATAATCTGATGTACTGCACACAAAACAAAACTTTTCACTGATTTCTGAGAAAAGGTCACTTGACCTGAAACATTAACTCTGATTTTCTCTTCATGGATACTGCCAGACCTGCTGAGCTTTTCCAGCAACTTCTGTTCTTACCTCTGATTTACAGCTTCCGCAGTTCTTTTGGTTTTTACTTCTCACTGTACTTGGGTACACGTGTCAATAATAATAAATCAATCAAATCATTTGTATATTTTTCAAACAGCAGGGGTCCTAGCACTGTTTCATGTGGAATCCCGCTGGTCACTGATCACCAGTCAGAAAAAACACCTTCCACAACTACCCTCTGTTTTCTGTAAGCAAGCCAGTTTAGTATCCAACTTATCAACTCACCGTGGATCCCATGTGACTTAGTTGTTGTGAGTCATGCAATATTCTTTAAAGACTATCCATTGCTTGTATACAGTCATATGCATGTGCCCTTGTTTCAGAATGAATGACTTCATTTTCAAACATAATATAAAATTCTATTATGGGCCAAATATATGGACCAAATGCAGGCAAATGGGACTAGATCAGTTGAGGATGTCTGGTTGTCATGGATGACTTGGACCGAAGTATCTGTTTCTGTGCTGTATGACTCTATGACCATGACTTTATGACTATGATTATTTTATTGTGGTCATGCATCCCTAATGGTTCTTTTACAACAAAATTGTTAATTAGCCCTTCTTCATTGCATCTTACCAGATCTAGATCACTATAGGTTCCTTGCAGTTGTGAGCAGATGTTCTGAACCCTGGCAGTGGGTAGCCATCTGAACTCTTGATCTTTGCTGCAGAAAGCAGTGTCAATCCCTCTCGCCATACTATCCCCTACATTCACTACATTCCTTGTTGCTCCCTGCATTTGAATGGCTTCCTGTACCACAGGTCAGAGGTCCCTACCGTACGTGGTGTGACTGCCTCTTGGTAGAAAGAATGCAGGTAAGATTCAGCCTCCTTGATGCATCACTGTGTTGCAGTTAGCTTCATTATGTCCATTTCCAAGTATTACTGCCCTTTCCCTCTGGGAAGCAGAGTATGTAGCGGTTCCTCTGACCACCATTCCCCTCTCCCCGACTCAAACACACCATCCATCTCATTTCTGGTTGTGGGTTTTTGTTCTGTGTAAATTGGCATCACAGGAAAATACCTAGAATACCCAGGGAAAGGAGTACTGGTATACCAGGAGAGAAGCATTGGAATGCCAGAGAGGGAATTGGAATAGCATTTTATCAAAAACAAATAGGGTTACTTGGAATGCCGGGAAAAGCAGAACAGGATTCAGTCCCAGGCCTGGGTACCACCTAAGAGGCATTAACATCCTCAGCCTGGTAGGGAAACTCAGGAAAAACTGAAAAAGCAGTAAGCACGAGCATCATCCCAGAAAACAGACATTGGAATATCTCTGCAGGAAAGGAACATGAATGCCACCCCAGGAGAGAAACATGTGGAGTGTCATCTTGAATGTTTATGCCCACTCTTCACTGGAGATGAGATAGTTTCTAATCAGCCTGTTCAGAGGTGTTAAGACACACCTCTGGAGCAGGTGGGACTTGAACCCTCAGAGCGAGGGACACTCCCACTGCACCACATGAGTCCTATCTTGCTGGAGGCTAACTGTAGGAGGATGATTCAATACACCCACTGTGCATGACGGGTTAACAGCACTTGCTGAGCAGGGCAGCATGGGCTCAGGGTTTTCTGCTGTAACATTATATAAAGTATTGTGTTGTTCACTGCATAAAAATATCAGTAACACGTAACATAGAGTAATTTGATAAAGAAGCCAAGTGCACAATTGGGTATTCATTGTACATTTATAACTGGGCTAAAACAAAAAGGGCTGTAAGATCTTACAGAGTCATCATTAAAGGAGTCACACCACTCAGATGTAAAACATTGCAAAGTCATAGTTTCCTGAGTGTTAGGTTAACATCAAAACAGATGATTCATCCACAATCCAATCTCCTCTGCTGAATCTTCAGAATGAAATATGCTCACGTCTGAGGTGATGGGAATCTGATGAATTTTCAAATCTGTGACATTGAATGTTTACACATAGAGCCCAGAAGTTGAGGATATCTAGTGAGAAAGTGAGAATCGACAAAGTGATAGATCAGCCAAGGAACAACCTCTTCAGGATCCCATAAAATGATGCACAAGGTTCTGAAATACTCTGGGCAACAATACCATCTCATTACCCCACTCTCGCTCAATGCCAGAACTCTAACCTCCACAGGCCATGGTTTCAAGTCATGTTTCAGAGACCTGGGCACATGATCTAGGTGAACACTCCCTGTGCAGCCCAGAGGGAATGCAGCAATGTCAGGGGTGCTGCCATTATTTACAGGAGACATTAAAATAAGGTAACACCCATTCCCTCTGATGCACAAAGACCCCATGGTCACATTTCAGAGCAAGATGAGGGCATTTTTCCCTGATACGATGGCAAATATTTATAACTCAAGCAACATCAGAAAGAGTGGTTTTTAAAACTCATTGATAGGATGTGGACATCACTGATGGCCCAGCATTTATAGCCCATCGCCGCTTGCCCTTGAGAAAGTGCTAATGAACTACTTTCTTGAACAGCGACCCATTTGGTGTAAGTTGATCCACATTGCCATCAGGGATGGAGCTTCAGAATTTTCACCCAGTGATAGTGAGCAAACAGCAATATATTTCTGAGTCAGGATGGTGAATGGCTTGGAGGAGAATGTAGATGTGGTGATGTTCTCAGGTGACATGAGAGTGACAGCCCTTAACATCAAGGTCGCATTTGACCAAGTGTGGCATCAAGGAGCCCGAGCAAAACTAGAATCAATGAGTATCAGGGGGTAAACTCTCTGCTGGTTGGAATTGTACCTGGCACATAGGAAGATGCTTGTAGTTGTGGGAGGTCAGTCATCTCAGCTCCAGGACAGCTCTGCAGGCGTTCCTCAGGGTAATG